TCTGAGGTAGCAGCAGTGGAGTTGCTGAAGCTGTTGGTGCAGGAATTACTTGGGTTTGTTAACACTGTTTTATGGCTTCTCTCTGTGCATGTCAAATGAACTATCTTCAGAGCCTTGGTTCCTGCAGTAAACCTCACCTTTGTAGTAAAGGCATTTTTGAGGCACCAAGTAACACTGCCTTATGCCTTGGGCAATGTAGATTGGGCTCTTGCCGCAGCTCGGTGGTGTAACCAAGATCTGTAGGCAACGAGGCTGCTTTCTGCCCTGAGCATGGAGTGACCCAGGTTCAGCTGGGTTCTGCCTTCTGCTGAATCAGGATCTGCGATGCAGATGGGAGCACAGCCCTGCATGCCCTTCCAGCAGAGGCTTGTCAGCCTTGGGAGCCTCCCCCTTGCTTGCAAGCACCCTGAGAGGTGGGGTATGGCGGTCCACGTGCATTCCAAGGCTTGCTGCTGTGTGGGTAGCACTGTGGGACCTCAGGAAAGCTCAGCATCCCACAGAGAAGTGAGGAAGCAGGACTTGAATTCAGTCTTATGTTTTGTCTGGTGCCCAAAGTAACGCACTGCTATGACCAAGAATGCCCCTGTTCGTTCTGCCCTCCCTCAAAGTAACATTTCCTTCCCTTTTTCTGGGTTAGTTTTCATAATCGGATCTGGAAGCGAGTCCTCTGCCAGGCAAGCAGCCAGCAGATGTCTCAGCAGCAGGATGTTCTCTGCCCTCCAGCCCTATGGTGCTCGGGGCAGCTGGGTGAGGATGAAGACCAGCATGTCCTACCAGCTTGGTCTAGTGGGGAGAAGCGGTTGGGTTGGTCCATGAGTACAAGTTCAAGGAACAGCTGATGCAAATTAAATTGCTTTTTGATCGTCCATAGAGGAGAGACTGGCAGAACCCTGGGGTGCTTCTTGGACAAAAAGCAGACGCCTGCTGTCTCCGGAATCTTCAAAACATTTCTCCTTTTGCCAGCACTGTTTGAGGCTTTCCTGGGTTGGGTCTGTTCCAGCTGCATTGTGCTCCAGTCCTTGCTTATCCTCTTCAGGGGCTGGCAGAGCAGGGAAGTGGCATTACCTGTCCTTGATTGCTGGGCCAGCAGAGGGTACTGTGAAACAAATGCCCTGGGGCTATCTGGTGTCTCCTTTCCATCTCCCAGGACTGGGTCTGGAGGAGGCAGCCACCCCAGCCTGCTTCTGCTGGGTCCCTCCTGCGTCGGTGAGCCGCATTTCAATCGCAGCACGTTTTCCAGAGAAGCTGATTTTTGTACATAGGGATGAGGGTAAAGGAGAAGCTTGTTTAGAAGCAAATTAGCACAAGGTCTTCTTCAACGCCTAATTACAATGTGCGCTGTCGGTCTGTCCTTTGATGAGCCCAGGCTGCACACCATCCCACCGAGAGCCCATCACACGCTACCACGCTTGATTTTAGCCCGAGGGACGTGAAGCAGCATGTCGCCCGCGTTGCCATCTCGCAGCAGATGTGTGCCAGAGCGCTGCTGGCTCCCACCGATGGCGGGGAGAGTCACGACGATGTATGTGTATGTGCATGTGTTTTGGCAGAGCTGCAAAAATCAGCATTTACCACGTATTACGGAGCCACCTCCCCTTCTGTCAAGTGCGAATAACATCACAGAAAGTGCACATCCCCACGAGGGAACAATTTGGTAGCAATCAGCAGTTGTTGACTCTTGAACAGCTTCTGCTGGTCCAGACAGTTCTTTAAAGACTGGGAGT